TGGGTGGGCCTCAGTTGCTGACTGAGGTTAAACCACGACAACCTTGTGTGCTCCTCCAGCTGTCCCATGGCAGGTACTCTGGCTTTACTCTTAAAACTTAGTCCAAACAGTTCTACCTTTTCTGGATAACTATTTCTCAGCTGGCTTCTGGGAACAGCTTCTCTTGGCATTCGTCACCTGTTTTTAAAACCACTTCAGAAGCTCCTCAGAAACAGAACATCTGCAACTATTTAACATTACACGCCCTAGGAGAAGATCAGTGTCCACTGAGCTTTTCAACGTAGTTTAGGAACAAGTCTATCCAGCACTTTTGATAGAAGGAGAGTGACTGCAAACACCTCTGATGGCTACCAGCTAAAACACAGGGTAAAAACCTTGCTATTCAGGTTACTGTGTCAGGAGAACGAAAATCTCTGAATGTCAGTCAGGGTTCCCGTCCTTTCCATTTCAGCCTAATCCTCACAAGAATTGCTATGCTGCCATGAAAGCAAGGCTGATGCAGATTCTCTCACCTGATTCTGTAATCACCAGTTCTTTCAGGAGGACACGGCCCCCCGGCTTAAGTATCCGAGCTAGTTCTGCTAGTACCTCCGCGCTGTGCTGCGCTGTACTGCCTGGTACCATGCCAGAGAGAATTACATCAAAACTGGACTCCCCGTGAGCCGCTGAAAAGAAAGAAAGAGGAAGATGGTACAATTCTACACATAGACACACAGAGCTTTGCTTAATACATCAGTTCCACCTCCCCTCCTCATCTCTCACGCTTGCGTACAACAGCAGTAACTGATTAAAGACACCAGTCATGGGAAGCGCAACCAGGGTTTATCACTTTCTTTGCTCTACTGCCAGTGGTAAGAGCTAGCAGTAGGTGCTATTGTTGTTCTGCATGCTGACTTACAAGCCAGGGAAGATGTCAGCTCACACAACAGAAGCACCCTCTCCCTTTAAACGGAACAGTGAAAAATTAAGCTCATTCTTACACTGAGACAGCTGGTTAATGTTTTCCACAGAGACACGATTATCAGCTCCCACCAGCGCCTGAATTTTAGCCACCAAATCCTTCAGGGCTTCAACCGGCGAGGAGCTGTCCCAGACGATGGCCACGTGCTGGCCTGGCACAACTCCGTACTCCCCCATTTCCGCAGCAGCAGCAAACCTGGCAGCAGCAGAGAGAGGAACAGGTAAGGGGGGGGGAGACAGAGAGGAAGGGTAAGTGCCAAGCGCAGCATGAACCTCTGTGGACTGTGACTTAATCACAGAGCATCGACTTGCTTTAACAAATGGGGATTACCTTCTGGAGACAGGCGGCACAGAGTTCCCACAAGCTGAGCGTTAACATGACATTAAGAAATAGCTACACTTAAGGGCATAATTCAGTTTCTCTCCAGTTCAGAGACTAGTTTTGCAGGGAGACTGCAAGCCATGCTTAAAAAAACCCCACAAAAACCCACCAAAACACAAACTTACCCGCTTTCCTTAAAGATTTGAATAGAGACATACACAGGATTTCTGGATTTCCAGACTAGTGACAACTATTTGACATTAAACACTGCCTTGTCTCTCCTACTCAGGACATGACCTAGCGGAGTTTGCTTCCACAGTACACGAGAAGGACGGGGGGGGGGAAAGTAATTTTTGGCATTTCCAGCATTCCAGATTGAGGCTCTTTCAACTGTTGTCATTGGTGGCGCTGGGTGAGCAATTACACGGAGGGAGGAAGGGAACAGAATGTGCAGTTAAGTGACAGTTTTGAGAAACCTGTCTGCACTAATATTTTATAAAAGATTGCATTCCTGACAGAGTCCGAAGAAAATCTGCACTACGGAAGTGTCACAATAGTATCATGTCATCACCTGTACTCACAGCAGCACTGGCTACTGAAACAAATTACCTAGCCTCTTTCACTCTACTCATCCAATGCAAACCTATTTTCCTTCTAATTTAACACGACCACAGAGAACAGAGAGCACCGGTGAGCACACTGTTTGCCCAGCGTGTCTTCAATTAGCTACAAGCCGCGCACTTGCTTTGGGAGAGCCTGCTGTAAGCAAGGTCTTTACCTTACTAAAAATGATTTCTATCATTACATTGGGCATCCTGGGTAATGCCTTACTGCCACCATGCTGTCATGGAAGCATAGCTTACGGATATGCTGTACCAAATTTAACTCGGTGGCCTGCAGTCAGGTGTGGAGTGGATTTTGACCCGCTGTTCCTCTGGCTCTGTGTGCCGTGGACCCCTCTCTCCTGGAAGCTGCAGACAAGCTCAGAACGGGACAACTCTGCGCCTTGTCTGAGCTACTCTGGTAGGAATTAGTGCTAACCAGCCCACAATGCCAACTAGGTAATGAGTGCAAGGAAGATCTTGGATGTACGCTACAGACTATAGCATCTCGCGCTGGCCTTGAATGAATACGCAACACAAGCTAAGCAACTACAACAGATAGCAACACGAGTAAACACATTTATTGACCCCGTTAAAAAGTCACCTTTCCCAGGAAGAAGGCTGAAAACATCAAAAGATACACAAGCTGTTAGGCTAACGTGGAAAAAAAATAAATCCGAAGTCACACCTTCCTCTCAGAACAGCAGGCTGTGACCTTTCAAGATCAGTCAGAGCCCAAACTACATCAACAGCAACACCAGCCTGCATCAGTCCCTCGAGATGGAATCTGAAGAAAGTAGGAAGCTACCGTAGTCCTCAAAGACATGACATTACGTCTGCCTTCAGTCAGCGTAAAGGCTAGGAGCTACCGTCAAAGCTTGCGCAGTTGAGTTCTTGATGGGATGATGGGAGAGAGATTTTTCTCCCTCTCCGTTTTTGCAGTAGAAGGTGGAATTTATTTGAAGTGAAAGATTTGGCGTGCCAGCCATCTTCCTTTTAAATAACTCCAGCTCTAGACTGCAATGACCCGGCTTGCTCAACCACCCGGGCGCTTGCCTGGCCAGGGCTCGGTGAAGACAGCCCAGCAGGCGCTCTCCTCTCTCACGGCACGCCGAGGAGGGCTCCCGCCGGCGGGGATCGGGCTGCCGTGTGCCGTGCCAGGGAGGAGGCCCAAGGGCTGGGCCCGGGGTAGGCACCGGGCTGCGGGCAGGGAGGGGACCTTATCTTCATTTCACACCAGTCCCCGAGGAACAGGGCTGCCCAGAGCAAGAAAGGAGCTTTAAACAATACTGGAGGTTTCCAGCTTCGACAGATTAGAAAGCTACCGCATGCAGCACGTCAGAACTCTACCCGAAAGCCTTCCTGAGCGCTCCGCACCCTGCGATGCGCAGCGGGCAGCTTCCAGCGGCCCAGGAGGCAACCCAAGGCCGCGGGCAGCGACCTCGCTGCCCCTACGGCGGGTGAACACTTTAAACGCGTCCCCTCGTGCAGAAAGGCAGAATAAAGCCCTAAACCACGGAGCCGGGAACGGGTTAGAGGGACGAGGAACCAGACAGGTGAAGGAATTTCACACAGGAATTCACCCCCCCCCGCGGGCGG